GTTGTTCAGGGCTTGGGGTCGCTTTAGGTTTTCGAGGCTGTACAAGGCTTCGGGACTTCAAGACTTGAAAGCTTTGATGTAAGGCTTCTGATGATGTAAGGACTTCAATATGGTATTGAATCGATTTAAACCCACGCGACGGTGGTTCGTAGATTTCAGTTTGTGACTCCCTCGAGAAAGCCAGAAGCCAGCAAGTCAGTTTATCCGTCAAACCTATAGAGCCTCACATCCTACTGTCAACATGCATCGCCAGAGGCTGCGCCCGAGTCCCCACGAAATATGGAAATTCCTTGTCTTGCCTCCGCCCCTGTACTTGGCTTCCGTGCGTGGCATTGGCTGGAAAAGTTTGCAGGGATGCCCTTTCAGAGCTGAGGAGCACGGCTTGGGTTTCCGCACTTGGTGGAGTGCACCATGTCTGGACCAAGAGCTACAGCAAGGCTCAACTGATGTAGGTCGGAAAGAAACTCTGAAGCGCCTGCAAGGTGAAGCGCAAAACGAACGATGGGAGTCCACGTCTAAGAACCACATTGTGTTCGGAGTGTCTTGTGTTCCTCGCATGCGCATGCCTCCATTGCTAAACCGTCGTAAAGCCCTAAGCAAGATTGAGTTCCAGGGGTTCATTTCGATGGAACGCAAGCCCTTCACCCACAAATCACCCCAAGTTACCTGTTTTGAATAATATGGCAGCCAACCCGGAAACCAACCCTGCATTTGCGCACATATACGGACCTCCAGGATCTGTTGGCGTCTTCCCACTTGTTCAGTAATGCCTGAGGAATAGTCCCCGAGCTACATCTCTTGCCCCTGAACGCCTATGCAACATGTACATAAACTCCAATCTTATGTTGGCGGCTCCTCTCCTAGCACCCACGGTCTTCGTCATGGACTGTTAGAGCATGCAATGATTCCCCGACACGGGTTTAGGTTAAGTTTAGGGGTTGTGGTTTGGGGTTTGAGGTTTGGGGTTTAGGGCCGTTTGCGGGTGGGCTTGTCGGCGGAGCTTATGGAGCCGGGTGCTGTACCATCCAGCAATGAGCAGACATTTACACGACGACGCTCGCGGACAGCCTTGGCTATTGTCACTGGACATGAGTCCAATAAGCGTCCCTCCGCTTGACCCAGGATCCTACTGTGGGCATTATGGGGTCCGAATTGAACTCCTGTCCTTGTTCTCTCCGTGTTGCAGCGACCTTCTGGATTTACGGGGTTGGATCTCAGGGAAAAAAGATTGACGGGCCCGCTTGGTTTTGAGTTTAGCTAAGAGCCAAGGCACCGAGCACACACCGACATTCCGGTCGATGTAGGACAGGACCTGTGCAGCTAAAAGCTAGAGTCTGTTCGTGGTGTGTGGATTGTGATTCAAAGAAGTTATGCTGTTCCTGCAGTGGCGGACAGCAAGATCAAGCAGTATGTATATGCATGAGAGTTTCATCATCTAGACCGCGTGAAGATGTCCTGTACGGTCGGCGCGCGAAGGTGCAGCTCACGGGACAAAAAGAAAGCGGACAGAAACGACAGCAGCCACACCATGCCCTCAGAATCGGGTCTTCACGCTTTAAACTGCCGACCTTCTCTCTTAAAGAAGGCATGTTCCAGGTCTCAGACCTGCGTCAAGTCAAGTGACTGAAGAAACCCAAAGACCCGGAGACCCTGAACCCTGTAAGCCTTTCAGGACCCTCCCCGCCCGAGTCGCACACCGACATCTCAGGAAGAAACTCCGCGGCTGTCTTGGTCGGCACTTTGACTTTCCTGCCCAGGGTGGGGAGGGGCCTGAGAGAGAGAGAGAGAGAGAGAGAGAGAGAAAGAAAGAGAGAAAGAAAGAAAGAGAAAGACAGAGAGAGAGAGAGAGAAAGAAAAAGAGAGAGAGAGAGAGAGACGAGAGAGAGAGAGAGCGATATAAATATAGATATACAGATAAATACATATAGGTATAGGTGTATGTACACACACACACACACACATATATATATATACTTATATATATATATATATATATATATTTGTCTAGCTAGCATACCATACAACACGTACAGCATACAACAAACACACACTGCACGATATACAACATTGACAGCACATACAACCCGTGTATCACATATAAATATGCTATACACACGCGCATATGTATGTATGTATGTATGTATGTATGTATGTATGTATGTATGTATGTATGTATGTATGTATGTATGTATGTATGTGTATATAAGTATATATACACTCTACATATATACTCTACATATATATATATATATTGTATATGTATGTCGTGTATACATACACACATATAGGGCCTCTTGAAGCCTAACCCTGAAGGGTCCGGTCCTACCTTAAATTGTTTAGGGTGTGGGCTTCTAGGACTTTGGGTTGCAAACCCTACAAAGCCTACAACATTTCAGGTTGTGAGCTCATGACCATTACAATATGTGTGCCATCCTATTTTGGGATCGATTTAGTATGGGCTCATGATGCTTTGTTACTGTTAATCATGTTTTTTTGATTTGGCCATCATCAAGTTCCAACGCTTGTGTTTGGATTGCAAGGTATACGTTTGTGTGATGTACATCCATTGTTAGAGTTACATTGGCCGAATACAACCAAAAGCCCTAAAAAGCTACACCCTCAAGAGCCCCACCCCCCTAAAGCTTTGAAATTACCACTTAAGGCCTCCTTGCCAGATCAAAGAGGCCAAGCGCGCGCTCCAGATGATCGACCTGGCAGCTTGGGGAGTGCAGGGCGTCGGGAGCTTCGGCAACCTTCACTGAATCCAAAAAAGTTTTAACCTTGAGCCCCATAACTCCAAAAACACCCAAATCCTAAAGCCCTACGGACTCAAGGAACTTCGGGGAGTCTTGGGCACACGGGCGCCATAGCGATGAGGTTTTTGGGGGGCTGTAGGGTTTAAGGGTGTATGCTCAAGCCCAAACACTCAAGCCCTAAACCCCCAACCCCAAATGTGAGTCGCGATTCGGGGAGGAGACGCTGAGAGGTTTGGGCTGTATGGTTCCGGTTTGGGCCCAGCTGGAATACTTGAGGGATTTCCATCCTCTCTGGTTTAGAGCTACTTTGAAAGCTGCTGTTGCAATTATTGCTAGCTGGCGCCAGGCCTCTGAACTGCAAGGATCGAGGCCCGCACACGCATGGCTGCTGCCACTCTGGCCAGAGCGAACGCGCAGAACAGCTCGTCCTCAACCGGTGCGACACATTGAAGCAGAATCTTGGAAAGTTTTGTCCAATAGCCAGAACTCACAAAAGCATGAGGTTCCCTAGCATCTAGCAAGTAGACCCTCTTCCCCGCCAACGCCCAGCCCAAGAAGCCCTCAAGCCCTAAACCCTCTCACCCTCAAGACGCTCGACCTGAGCAGCTGCAAAGGCAGCTCCTGCCGGTAAACGTTCATGATCATCCTGGCTCCGGGGCTTGGCTAGTTCTCGGGTTTCGCTTCACAAGGCTCCAGAGGCGCCTTGGGGGGGGGGGGGGGGGGGGCGCAGATGGTGGGGGCATCAGCCCGTACAAGGCTTTAGGGGACGACATGGGAGTCGCTTCAGAGTGCATGAGACCTCTGCTCAGGAGTTTGTTGCTGAGCCCCAGAGTTCAGGTGTCGAGCTTAGGGATGTTGGGTCAGGTCGCCCTAGAACCAATACTCCAAACCCTAAACCGCAGGTTCAAGGTGACCTGCTGACGCTATGAACCCCAAAACCCCTAAATCCTCAAACCTCTAGACCCCTAAACTGCCAGACCCTCAAGACCCCTACAGCCCCAAACCCCACAGTTGTTCCACTCGAGGTGCTGAACGCTGATCGTGCCGGAGCTGAAGATGCGCGGCAGCGCCGGGGTCAGGGCATCGTAGACCTGCACGGTGCTTAGGGTTTTCAGGGTCCGGGGCCTGGGGACTAGGGTTTGGGGGCTATAGGGAAGTGTGCAGAGCCTTTTAAATATTTAGCGGTTTTGGGGGACCATTTGGGATCTCCCAGGCCGGGGCCTCCTGTAGTTGCTCCTCGGGCACGGGCGCCGTGCGCTTGTCCACGGAGTTGAAGGAGCTCACCTCGTGGGGCTTTAGGGTTCAAGGTTTTGGGTTTAGGGCTCAGGGTTTCAGGCTTTGTCGGGCTTGGGGCGGTAAGGGCTCGAGGGTCGAAGACACAGGGAAGACTCAAAGAACCTGAAAAGTTTGTAGGGCTGGCATTTCACGATGCAACTCCCCCATTTGAGCGCAAGATTCGGGCAAGTGGGGTGCCTTGGAGCTTGAATCGCTTGTGCCCCTCGTCCGTTCCAAGTCGTCTACGTTTGCAAACAACAGAACACGCTTATCTCCCCATTGCACCCGGTCAAATTAAGAGGGCTGACGGTTGAACCAGCATCATGCATGCCAGCACCGTAACGCAAAAAGCCATTGGTGAGGGCTGCAACTTTCTCAGCCTGGCTTCTCGACGCCGTCCTACCGGGAGGGTCCGGAGTCCGGAAAACTGCAGCGCCGTTGCGACTCTGAGTCTTGCAAACTGTGACCTTTCAACATTTGCCCCTTATCAAGTCCGCCTCGGTAAGGGTATGAAGTCATTTATTGGGGATGCTGAGCGCCTCTCAAAGGAGCCATGAGCAATGGCTTGCGGGCTCCCTCTGTTCGTACGTAGCTTCACGCTGCAGAGCCTGCATTCCAACATTTTCCCACACTGCCTTTGCTTTCGTAGCCCTTTCCACACTCAGGCAGCGGCTATCCTGTTGTGGATGTCTTCCAAGTTCTCGGAAGCACCTGAATTCGCGGTGGGCATGGAACTGTGTGTTACAGCTGAACCCTCTTCGGCCTGAAGCCCTTTCAGCAGTACGGAGCCGGATTTTGAACTCGATATACCTCAGAATGCAATCAGACCTTGCTGGAGCCCGGGCCATTGGACAAAGCGGTCTTCGGCAACTTCCAATAGCCCCCAAGCCTTGTCAGCAGCAAGACGCAACTGGTTTCTCCTTTCCTTCCGACGACGAGAGCTACACAACAAACAAATTCAGAGGTTCCTCAAGACATAGGATGCGAAATGTCAAGTTCCCCAAGCAGAGAAGGGCCCTCGGTCCCTTGCCAATCGATCTCGAAGGGCTTCACTTGATTCTCTTCCTTTGCAGCAATTTAGGGCTTGGGGTTTCGGATTTCGGTTTAGGGTAGGTTCAGCTCAGGGTCCGCGGTTTAGGGTGTTGTTCTTCATCGGGGTCTGTAGAGCTAGTGAGAGTGTGGGCTGCGGCAAGTTGTTGTTTACAACAAGACGCCTGCCCAGAATTCAGAGCAACCCCAACCGCGGGCACGGGCAGAAATTGAAGAGCAGGTTCTAGAGTAACCACCCCCGTACTTTTAATCCCACAGCAACGAATACACTAGTGGAAAGGAATGCGAACCTACCAAGCTTTTAAGACTGATACCTGTCGGAAGGGGGAGGGCGGGGGGGGGCAGTAGTCATGCAGACTTGAGTGTTCCCAGCAGAGTGTGATAGTCCCTAAAGCCTTGCACCGCAGCTCTCACACAGGGGAGCCCCTGGAGATATTCCTCGCGCCTGGTACTTGCTGACGGACTTTGGCCTGTAGAGTGCAAAGGCGACCTCGGTTCCAGATTGGAACGGTAAGGCCCTCCGGTTTGAGGGTTTTCGGGGCTGCTGCCTCAAAGAGGCTTGGGTTTTCGGGTTGTGAGAGAAAAGGGTTTGGGGGCCAGAACCTTGCATTCCAAACTGGATTGTACGCCAGACCCTAACACTAGGTTCCCGAGCAACCCAAGAATGAGCAGTTGCTTGTTGAACAGGGTTGATAAGGGCACCCAACCCCGAGAAAGGGCAATGAATAAGGCCCTATCCCAACTCCCTGGAACGAAAATGCCGTCCACTCGAAATCATGAAAGGAATATCCCACGCTCGAACACCCAATCCCCTAAACCCAGTCCGGTACATATATATACCCTAAACCCCAAATCCTAAACCCTGTAAACCCTAATAGCCTAAACACTAAACCCTAAACCCTATGACCTAAAACCCTAAACCCTATAAACCCTATAAACCCTATGAACCCTGTCAACCCTATAAACCCTGTAAACCTACAGGCCCTATAAACCCGATAAACCCTATCAACCCTATAAACGCTATAAACCCTACAAACCTATAAACCCTGTAAACCCCACATACCCTATCTACCCTATAAACCTTACAAACCTATAAACCCTGCAAACCCTATATACCCTGTCAACCCTATAAACCCTATAAACCCTATAAACCCTATAAGCCCTATAAACCCTATAAACCCTATAAACCCTATAAACGCTATAAACCCTATAAAACCTATAAGCCCTATAAGCCCTATAAGCCCTAAACCCTATAAACCCTATAAACCCTACCTCTGCAGGATCCGGCCCGGAGGGTCCCGTCGAAGCGCTCAGGGCTGTCTGGATCCTTGGCGACCTCGGCGGTTCACATGGAACTTTGGGCAGGGCTATGTAGGGTGCTCGGGTTTGGGGTTTGGGTTTCGGGTTTAGGGTTTGGGGTTTAGGGTTGAGGGTTTAGGGAGCTGCAACCTGCAAGGGTTCAGAGGGCTTTCATGGGAGTCTGTTCTCCCTGCGGCAAACTTTCGGGTCCCTCGTGCGAGTGCTTTTGTTACCTTGCACACTGTGTCTCAAGAACCATTTGAGGACCTTTTCGATTGAAACGCAACGGCAACCAAGTACTGTGTCAGTTGGCGATTGGGCTTGGGCTCTGCAGACGGCGTGCCCTTGCAACCCCCTATCTTGGGATCGACAACCCAACCCTTAAACCCCCTGGCCCGTGCTACGATCTGAAAGCCACGCCGGTACCCCGCGCAGCTTGGGGCCTGCTTCAAGCCAAAACCATGAACTCAACATAAACATCGAAACCCTGAGCTCGGGAACCCAACACCCGGAACCTTGTATCTCAGGGCTCGAGGGGTTTGGGGGCCCCCTGGGCCCCCCAGCTGGGATAGAAGAGCAACAGCGCTCCACTACGAAGAGGGGGCACTCGTTGGACCACCAATGCAGGCACTGCTCCTGCCAGGGCTTACAGTAGGGCTTGAGGCATAATCCAGAAGTTTCTTGACCCAAATCAACTCAGGATGAAACTTTTGGCCCTGAGGCTCAGGGGGCAAAATTCCCTCAGCCCATCAGCATGTAGGTAAACCTCAATAGCACCAAAACAGCCTCTCATACTGCAATGCTTAAAACCTCAGAGCCCAACAGCAAAGGGCTCTCTAAGCATACATCAATTCAACAATTCTCAAGTCCAGCCATTGGCTGCATTGCGACTGACGCAACAGCTCCGACACCTTACTGATGGGAAAGCAACCCTGAAAGACCCCGCCTCCCCCCTCCCCTTTGAACCTCCAGGGGGCCTCCATGAGAGGCTGCTCGTCATCCAGGGACAAGGTCGCAGGGCGGCGCTCGGCGAGGAACTCGGGAAGATCGTCCTTTTGGAAGGCTCAGATTATGAGGTGTGAATGGACTTGTGGTGCAACGAGGACCTGAAGGTTTTTCCGTGCTCCGCTGTGTGTGTGTGTGTGTGTGTCTTTTTTTTTTTGTGTGTGTGTGTGTGTGTGTGTGCGTGTGTGTCAGTAGCCTCTTTTGCGGAGTTTGGGCCCTGTAGGTTTAGCCTTGGCAAGTCGGATAGTGCGGACCAGTTGGGCTCACAACAGCTTTCGAGTTTCGTCGAAGCAGAACCATCCGGCGATGCGGTTAGATGACTGCGCATGCTGTCCCCACTGCAAGCTCCTGTTGCTGGAGCCGGGGTTGCTTTACCATGCCAAAGACTCCCAGTGATGGGAGGACAGCGGAGTGCTGGAGTATGTCTGGGCGCAATGCGCACAGAGCCCAGAAATCGCTTGCCCCTCCTACTGGTAACACCTTCGTCGCATAGGTTTCCAAGCCTATCGTTGTACCATTTGATATCCCGACAGCCCTAAATGCCATCCCCATGAACCCTATAATACTCTGACCTTTAGACTCTAAACCCTATATAAACCTGAAATCCAACCCCCAGAAAACATAATGCCAAAAATCAGACATGTAAAACCAAGGAAAATAAGTTTGAAAAGCCGTCAGCCCCTACACACACACATCGGACCGTGGCCCCGGACCAAGGGCGGTGTCAGCAACTTCCTCCAGTGTTTCTTCGGGTGTTTCCTTGGGCCTTCTGGCTTTCGAGGTGTCACTTCGGGAATCTCCTAGATTCCTAGATGCAGGCTTCAGGCTTGATGTCTTTAAGCCTCTTCTTGGAAATCTGGAGGCTTCAAATATCTGATGGGTTGATAAGGGTTGAGAGAGGGTCTATAGAGGGTCAGGGAATTGGGGGGGTTTAGGGCTTTTGCCTTCGGCTCACCAACTCGACTCTCTCCCCAAATGCGCACTGAAAACCGATGCCAAACATGCGCTCGGAGTCCCATCCTCAGCACGTCATCAAGCTCCGAAGCTGTGACGACCTCGTGGGCAAGTCATGTACTGCCGACTAGGGTTTTGGGGTTTGGTGCCTTGAGACGAGTGCTAGACTAGTTTAAGAAGGCTATGGAACAGGGGTACTGGCACTTAGACTGGGGGAAGCCTTCGCCCCGGCTCGAGAAGCATGAGCGAGTGTGAGCCAGTGGCCAAGCTTCCAGGTCTACAGGGATGTATGTATATGTGTATGTATATGTGTATGTATACTGTATACTTCTATGTCTAGAATTTTTCTTTTTCGTGAATGTATATGCGTACCTGCGGTGCGTGTATGTATGTGTATATACATATACATATATACATATATGTATGTACATGATTGAAAGAAGTAGCAGATGCAAAAACACCAACCAACAAACGAACAATTAAACAACAATGTATACATACATATATGTATATATATATATATATATTTATTTATTTATCTATTTATTTATGTGTGTGTATATCTCTTTGCACATCTAAACCTAGAAGCTCTGATCCCAACCTGCTTTACACAAGGAAGCTCTCGCCCGTCTCCACCCCAAAACCCTGTAAGTCTTCGGCCACCACACCAGCTCCCCGAGATCGGTTGCAAAGCTTCAACCTTGTCGCACGCATCTTCGGGAGTTGGGGAGCTCAGGGCTGCGGTTCCCAGTTGAGAAGTTGGGGGAGGGGGGCGAAGTGGGGGCATGTTGGAAGAACTCAGGTGTGTCGGGGGGGAGTTTGGGGGGGAGGGCGAGCTTCCGCAGCGTAGAGCAAGAGTGCTCCTTGTGGCAATAGCTTGCCTTTGGGTCACACGTACTTCTTTTCGACAGGGCATGGGTCGGCCTTGCTGTTGGCCCATTATTCCTTTCGAGGATCACTTTCTTGTGGCGGGTCTTCTCGCTTTCATGATTACCAGATCAATCGCTTGCCAGCTGTTGGCCTTCAGATGAGCGTTCGGTGTGTTTTGAAAGGTTTTCACCCCAGACTCCCTCCGGACAAGCATGGTCCAATGCTTCAGCAAGGGTTCCATAATATATGCGTTCCTGATGGCAGCTTGGCTTTGGTTTGGTCACCCAGAAAACAGCCAATCGCAATACTCACACACTGCACCACCAATAAAAACCTACTGCTGATGGTCCCAACACATGCACCCGAACTTCTAGTCTTCAAGACCCTTCCCTTTAACCATGAGAAGCAAATCACTAAGCGTAGAGGATGTATGGGACAGTACACCAGAAAGGACCCGAACTGGGTGCCAGGCACGACCGCGCCATTGCCCTTGACATCGAGGTCCCGGAGGATGCGATGTGCAAGGTTGGGCTCATACCGCCTGAAATTATCTGAAACTTGGAGTGTGTGTTGGTGCTTCACCCCGAGGGTCCACTATAAGGTTCATATGCGCGGTCCGAACATCAGTGCAGTCTTGACGTATCTGTACCAGATTGTACCAGGCAAGCGAGGCGGGCCTTTCGCACGGCTCACGCACCCACACCCACACGCACATGCCCATGCAGCCACCCACGCCCACACACGCACCCACGCACGCACCCACGCACGGAATTGATCCGCCGAAGAGGTCAGCAGGCTTCTTTGGCTGTTTGAAATGAACTGCTTGAGCCCGGTATAGAAACCCCAAAAACCATAAGAACTCCTAAACCCTGCGCCGCCTGGGGTAGGCGGCGGTCGGCGGGCGTAGGTGTGCGAAACCCTCCTGCACGAACCTCAGAGACGACTCAGCAAGCGACAGCATCGGGCCGTGATTGATGCTGCCATTCTTTGCTTTTTGATTATGATTTATGCCCTTTTCATAATTATCACGAGCCCCAGAGCCCCTATTTTGAATGACGTTGATGGTGATGATGATGATGACGATGATGAGGATGATGATGATGATGATGGTGATGCTGATGCTGATGCTGTTGATGATGATGATTCATGATGCTTGTTACTCATATGATGTGTTTTGTTAGCGTTTATGTGGTCGAGCTGGTGTTGGCTGATGCATGTGAACGAGTATCCTTTCTCCAACCCCAAACCCCCTTGAGTTTGCTTTTCCCAAGCTTAAACTTTTTAACATGACACCCCGGGTTTCATGTGGTTGCATTAACGTCATCTCTCAGCTGACGGCTAGACTGAAAACAATCATGTCTATTAATCCCATGCAAGACTCTTCGCCTAGTAGTGTCTTCGTTGGGAAGTCGCATCTGTTAAGTTCGGACCTCGACCTGAAAGCATGGGGCAATGCTGCCAGTCTCCGAGCGTGCGCATGGTGAATTCCGACGCCGCACTGGGGCCGCACTTTGGAGACATCCGATGGAAAAGGTGACTTGTCACATTGAGGCACCATCGTGCCGCCTTTTCCCTTGAGAAAAAAGATAGCAGCTGTCTGCCGTCGCCAGACATTATACAACAACTCTACTGTTTTGGAAGAACACAGCTGCAAGATTGTGATGATTTTTCAGCACACGGGCATCATGCAACATGTGAACCTTGCGAGACAGGAGGTTGTTGAATAGCGCCCATTCATCAACTACGTGCTGCTTCCATTGGATAGCAGCATCTGCATGCCGAAAGGAAACCTGAAGTCTGAGGGCTTCTTCTGAACTTCCCCCACGCCACGCTTTCGCATCAAACCTCCTACATGCCTTCCGAGCTTGCTGTGCTGCGATGCGAGAAGTGCATCCGAGGTGCATGTCGTGCGTGAACTTCTTGTTCTCGGTCATCACCTCATGAAGAATGGCGATGCATGATCAACATGTCATACTACTGGAAAACAAGCAGAGGTGAGATTGAAAAGGACTTCAAAAGGGAAAGGTGCCTGTGTGCACTACCGTGATGTCTCGATCACCGGGCGACAGGGGAAAGTACACATATGCCTTGGCCTGTGTATTTTTCTTGGATCCAGCCCTCCCGTTTGGCCGTACGGTTGATGGCTTAGCAAGTTAGCAAGCTGATAAGACTGCCTCTACCATGCCAGGGTACGTGAAGGGACCAACCTCCCTGTCTGACATCACGGTGATTCTAGATACAACATGCCAACACTCATCTCACCATGGTGAAGCTTTCACATGTGGATGGTCTTCGCAATCTTGGACTCTAGCGGCTTGTGAAAAGGTTCAAGTGGAAGACTTCTTCTGGCAGTGCTTAGCTATAGAAGTTTTCGCACAGACCGGGCACGGAGGTGTCGTTCGGTTTCTAGGCAATCAATCCCCCCCAAGCCCCCGCACCACAGAAGAGGATCAAACCTTCCGTGGAACTCTGAAACCCCCCACATCCGACGTTTCGTGGGAGTCTTTCATTCGTCTTTCCTAGTTGCCAGGTACTCTCGGTGCTTATAGAGATCTGCGCCAGACTTATGCGATCTAGAGCCCAAAGCATAGTTACGGGGAATGGGGACAGATTCGTTCTATATCCTTGTTCCATGGCTGCCAATTAGGATCCCTTGCGCTTCGCCCTTGCGCCAACCTTGCGCGGGCTTGCGCGCGAGGTTTTCGCAAGTACTAGTAGATGGAGGGTCAACTTAAAGTTTTGAATAAACATCACCAAGAGATAGCTTGCGCAGAGCTTGCGTTCGCCCTTGCGCGAGCTTGCGCGTGCTCGAGAGGTGTGCACGTTCTATCACGACCGACATTTTCCCTAATCGACGGGCTAAGTATCTCACAAGAACCCGCCAAAAAGAACAACCCTCAGATCTTGGCAACAGGAAAGAATGAAATGAGGGAACCTGCAGTACTCTCAAGAAGATTCGGCTTCTGATGGTCCTGAGTCCTGATTTCGCGAGTCTTGCATGTAGAAGCAGGGACAGGCTAAACCAAGCAAGCGTCTTCTCATCTGGCCAGATTTTGGCAGCAAATCGTAAACAGTAAACAATCAAATGCCACCCCACCCCCCCTGCCCCCCACCCCCAGCTCTCCCCTTTCCGAAATATGCAAAACTGCGAGACGAGGAGACTGGGAAACCCGGCTGCCCGCTTGATGGGAGCTCGTGCCATGCAGTAGTTGGAATCAAACTTCTCCTGGTCATGGCTAGCTTAGGAGCGTTCAGGGCTTGACTGCGTCGGGCTTCATTTGGGAGGTGTCATGGAACCAGAAGGATTCTGAAACAAGCAGTGGTCCCCCTCTCACTTCCGCGGCAGCTGTGACATCTATTTGCCACATGGGCCCTACTGACGAAACAAGCAGTTTATAGATGAAACGACAGAACCCTAACCCCCCGCAACGCCCCTCAGGGAAACTCCGTGAGCCTCCAGCCATGCAAACCGCTGTAGCTCTGAAAAACCTCCCTGGATCCAACCCACTATGTCTAAAAGCCCTACAACATACACAGCCCCAAATCCGTAATCCCCGTAGTGCGAAACAGCTCCCACAGAGCGGCCTTAATGTAGCGCCCATGGTGACTGAAGCGACTGGAGCGACCATCGCCAAGCTCGAGCACACGGATCTGCAAGGCTGTCTTGTTGGTGGTGTGGCGGGGGTGATTGAGAACAAGGATGTTTTAATTCTTGCAGGGGGGACGGGGGCTGAGGGGGCTTTTGAGTTTCTCAGACTTAAGGGTGTCCTTGACTCAGGATCCAGAATCGAGTACGTATAGGGCTTCTTAGCATTCAAGCTTGGGCTTGGGAGAATCCAGCCACGCGGGTCAGGAGAAAAAAACCGGCAGTCCAAACTTGAGGACGAATCTGCAACATCAGCTCAGGCACCCAAAGCGGGGGTGCGGCAATGTGCTATAAACCTCGTAAACGTCCCGGACCCTGACAGTTGTGCTTCTGGGGCTCCAGGCCCTCTCTCTCAGGGGAGCACGGGGATCCTTCAGCAGCGAGGCACATGGAGGATCGCACCCTGATTCTCTGAGACCCGAACCCCAAACCCCCCAGATCCTCCCCAAAATCCGCCACCTAGACTCAAGCTGACTCAAGCTTCGGTCTCTGAAACTTCTATCGACCCAAAGCCCTCCTCCCGCGTGGCAAACGCGCTTTACAACGGACGCCCACTTCGAAGCTCAGGTTACTTGCCTGAACGCCCACTTCACAACCACACAGGGATGTTACAAAAAAGCACTCAGGCCGGGACGTACTTGATGTCGCCTTAGCAGGCGTCGGCGTCTACCACCGTTGCCCCATGCACACCCAGAGCTACGCCAAATGTCAACGGTCCTTGTTTTTTTTCTGGGGACCTGAACCCTTTTCCGCAACCCCCCCCCGGCCCCTTCCTCACGGTGGGTTTAGGGCTTATATAGCATCAGACTTTAAGCTTGGGTTTAAGGCATCCCTTCTTTCCATGGTGGGTTTAGGGTTGAGGGTTAAAGGTTTAGGGTTGGGTTGAGGGTTTAAGGTTTAGGGTTGGGTTGAGGGTTTAAGTTCAGCCATTTAAGCGTTTAGGGTTTAAGGTTTAGGGTCGGGAGGGGGTATTCCATGGGGGGGAGGACACCCCGGGCTGGGGAACCCTGATGCCCCGCCAGATATCCAGTCTGACTGTGGCCCATACAAGACCTCAGATAAGGTCTGAAGAGTTGATCCTTGGAACCCATAATCTACTTATTATTTGCTTAAAGAACCCCAAAAGAATAAAAAATGATAATCCCTATATTCTCCTTGTAAGGAAGAATATGTTTTGGGGGGTTCTTAAGCCATTAGTAATAAGCATTATCAGAACATTAATGAATTAAATTAGAAGGACAGTATTCTCAGGGCGTGGATTCCAAACCCTGACACTGCTACAGCCCCAAAGACACCAAACCCTGAAATCCAAAAAGGAACCAAAACCAGCTACAACGTTACCACCCGAAAGCACCCCAACCGCTCCCAAGACTTACTTCGTAATGAAAGCCGTGAGGCAGATCCCCCAAAACGCTACGGAGGTCGACCCAGGGCCAGCCTCGGTTTCAGGTTCGGAGCAGTGGTTTAGGGGTTCAGGGGCAGTTTAGGGTTTAGGGTTTAGAGGTTAGGGTGGGGCTTTTGGGGGTTTAGGCAGGGCAGGACTAGTTGAAGCCAATACCGCGAACTCATCAAGTGATGAGTCGTCGGGAAGGGACGGTGTTGCTTCGGAACATGTCCAAAACAGCAGGCAAAAACAACCACCCGCGGCCGAGAGAGAAAGAGAGGCAGCGACCCACGTCCGACACCCGGTGATGCAGGATGCGTCCATCCCGACAACGAGGCAGAGCTCGCCGGCCGTGGACGCGGCGTAAACTCCCTATAGAGCTCAACACCCGCAATGAGCCCAGCCTGATCCCAGCCTGAGCTGTGAAGACCCCCGAACCATACAACCTAGCGTGCCGAAAGCTTAGACCCTGTAAACCCTAAACCCTGAATCTTAATTAGACCACCTAAATCCTGAACCCTAAGAAGCCCCATAGGCTCCTGACAAGCTTGCGATCCCCACCACTGCCGCCGACGTCGGAATCGACGTCCTTGCCCACACCGGGCCTGCAACTCACAACAAGCCACCTAAACTAGCAAGAGAAAAAATGTGTACCATTCCCTTTTGAGTTTCATTTCCCCAGGGCGACCGTCGTACTCAGGAGTATGAACGGCGCGCGCTGAATTTAGGCTTGGTGCTTTGGGGGCGCTGAGGTTTAGGGTTTAGGGTTTAGGGTTTTGGGGGCCTCAGGGTATACTTGTGAGCAAGGTGCCATTCTTGTTGTTCGCGGCTTAGGGTCTTTTTTGCTTTCGCAGAGCCCCACAGACCTGCACCAAGTCCTAGCCAAAGGCACCGCAACAGCAAGCTGGCTGCTGACTGGAGTGAGCGTTTG